TTATCTGCATCCCTGGATCCCTGGCCCTTTTTAAAATTGCAACAACTTTCTGTCTAAAAGCTCCTCTCCAAGCCCCAAACTACAGGAAGAACATTCACCACTGACGTGGCAGAGCAGAGGGCTAGACTAGCCAATCTCCTGAAGCTCCTTCTGCAACTCAACACAGAGTGGGGAAGCGGGAAGCACGGTAGGCTTCCCTGAAGGATAATCGCTCTGCTTCTGCAAGCAGAGGTGACAGGCAGCAAAGAGTAACCCAAGGGAGACAGAATTTCCTATTATTGAGTGACAATAGAACTTTTCTAAAAATCAGAGAAAGGGGGATGGGATAATAATGGGTTTATTTGTCTGCTTGATAATTTTATGGTGCTGGTAGTGAGGGGAGAGGAACATTTTTACTGGATCAAGATCATTCCAAAAGGCTTCAATGAAGAGGGATTAAAAAAGTGTTCATGGAAAGAAGCCTCCTTTATCTTAAGTAGATAAATCATCAGAGGGGTGAAGCATAGCAAGGGGGGAAATGGTGTGGTGTTTCAGTGAAAAGACACAAAAAGACAACGTATTCTTCAATGCACAAGTAGCATCTTAATGCTCAAATAATTCTCTGTGGTCACATGAGAGAAGTCTTTGTAGCATACTGAGGTTGGCTTAATCTTGACATCATTGTGAACACAGAAAACAGCGCTAGACAAAAATAAGGGGCCCAGTTTTGAGAACCTCTTTAGAAATCTGGGAGAAAGGGGAGCCTGTAATTAGGGTTTGCTGTGCAACTGCTCTGGGGGGTGATGTCATCGCATACAGAAAAGCAGCTTTTGGTGCCAGGAATCTGAGCTCACTGCTCTTCAGTCATTCAATAGGGTCGTGCATGGGAATCCCGCACCTTGGGGATTAGTGAGCAACAAATCTATTTTGTAGGCACCAGTGTTTGGCTAAAGGGAGAAAGGAAATTGAAATGACCTTGTAAATGCAAGTTGTGTGAAAGAATGCAGCACTGCCATCCTCCCACTAGTCACACAGATGGGACTTTGATACTCTGTCAACCCCTCCCTGCTCCCCTTCCTACCATTTTCCAGCAGAGAAAACTGAAGCTCAAAAAGAGGAAGTCCCAGAGCTGGCCATGCCGGTGCCAGGACTAATACCTGGTGGCCTGAACCCCATTGTAGAGCTTTTTCTTCTGTATCACCATGTGCCTCGTCCCCTATCAATGTCTGAGCTGAGCTGGGTGGATGCTCAGAGTCTCACCCACCTAGCTGTCACCTGAGTCACTCCCAGGGACACACGGTCACATTACATGAGCTTCTAGACCGCAAAGACCCCCGAAGGGAAAAGAACGTCCTGTTGGAGATGATTTCTCCTGCTTGTGTCATTGTGCACAAACACTGTGACACAACCAGCCAGGCCGGTTCTGGGTGGAAGAATGCTGTAATAGTTTTGCCAGAATCCTGCTGCGACTGAGACTGGAAATCTGGAGTTAATCCCCAAGTCTCATTTTAACAAATAGTTTTGACACCTTCACTAGCCCAACTTTTTCCTCTAATTAAACTAAAAGATTAGAGTTTCACATCCTTTCCTTTCTTCTCTTCATGTTAAATGAGAGGTAGAATAAAACATAGGTCAGCAACAAAAGAAAAAAGTAGAAAGTGTGCTCTGGAAAAATCCATAAACCTTATCATCAGGCCTTATTATACATAGGTAGTAAGACTACCAAATACTAGCCTTTTTTTCTTTTTTAAATAAATGTACCAAAACTTACATGTTGAGATAAAAGCCATCTTTTAACATAATTATCTTGGGAAGATGCATGGTTTTCTCAAACAATGCTACTATGGCTCAAAGTATATTTGTAGAATCTCTTCTGACACTACCTTCTCCAAAGCTGGTGTGTGCAAAAGAAATCTCACTTTTAACCCTGAAGTGGTATTATCCAACTTGTTAATATATAATTACATTTAGGTCCAAGTGATTTCTGTTTTTTTTAAACACTGTCAAAGATCAAGATCTACTACAATAGTGGGTATTCAAAAGGATGTCACAGAGCCTGTCTTTAATAGTGCCAACACAAGCTAACCTCTGGCCTACTGCCCAAGGTCTGGCCAAAGGAAGCAAGAGATGCTAGTGGAGTTTCTAGTCCCATTCCTGTCAGCTATCCAATGTCAACTTCCATTATGTCACTGCTGTCCTCAACACTGAAAGCCAATGAAGATAGAAACGGAAGGGGTGTGGTTGGGGCATAAAAACTCAAATATCCACCAGAATCAGGCAGGGAAAGTTCCAGAATGAAGAAAGCTAAAGAAAGCATTAAAGAGAATAGCTAATACCTCACAAGAGCCACTGATAGCCTTGCAAACACTTGAGCTCATGGTTGACAGAACCTTAATTATCCAAAAGAATCTGGAAACCTAAATTTAAAAAAAAAGTAATAACCTCCTGATTTAATGATTATTAAATATGGGCAAAAATTTGAAATGTAAGTACATAAATAATGATACACACATACAAAGACACTTTCTATGGGCCATATGAAGGCTGTAGATCACAGATCTGTGTTCTCTGGCCATATAACCCAAAACAACAGGAGACACTGAGTGGGCCCCTGAAGGCTACAGAAGATTTCCATGGAGATGTCACCAATAGGAACTTGAAAGCAAATGCAATTACTCCCAAGAAATCCACAGTATGAAAATCACAAACAGTTCCACACTGAGAGGGATGCTGTTATCTCTCACTATGCTGAAAACCTTTTTCTCAATACCACACAATTTTGTTTTTTGCAATCTGCTTATTATAATACCAATAAAAATATCTGAAAGAAATACCTTAGGCTCTGCAGGTTGAAGAAAACATCTCAGCCTCCCCAATGATGTGAATTTAACTTTGATGGTTTTTCTTTAAAAGCCCTCCCAGTAGTTTGGGGGAAAGTATTCAGAACTACTTTTTTATTACTTACTGATTAACCCAGACTGCATTAACCCAGACAATTCCAGCCTCCAAGTAACAGTCATTAAAATAATATATCAAACAAACACATTTTGCAACAACAAGCAATAGAAAATATCCTTCACTGCCATTTGTGAAAGTGTATCTGAGCTTAAACTTGTCAATCTGGAACAACACACATGCACAAAGATACCTATTTACAGAAGAAAAGTGCCCCTTACTTATGGGAAATGAGGGATGTTGTCTGAATTGGGCTGAAAGATCAACTGAACCCCAAAATAACTACCTTGCCTGGCCTACCCCAGAGCCTCCACCACACAGCTGTCCCAGTTCCAGCATTTCCTTTAAACGGTCCCTACGGACACGTAACAGTTAACACTTTCACCCACTAGCACTCACTACCACAGATGGCATGCTAATAAAACTTACGGTGATGATTACAGCTCTCATTTATAGCTTGCTCTACACAGACAGGGCACTTGGCAGCGATAGGATCCCGCTGTCTCCCCAGTCACTGCGGGGCCCTGCCTCCCACTCCCCCCGCTGCTGCATGGCGATTGGTTCCCCCGCCGCCCTCTCCAGCACTGGATCCTCACACACAGGTCACAACCCCAACACAATGCTCGGTAAGGCTGGGACAACAGGAAAAATGTTGTTGCTTTGTGTGAGGGACCAGAGGCCCGGAGCGGTCACAGGCCTCGCTGGGGATTCTGACGCCAGCCCCATCTGCCGTGCACACTGCCTTCTCATTCTCACCCCTGTAATCTAGCCTCAGAGCGCACCGGGCACCAAGAGAAAGCTCAAGGCTCAGGTGAGGAACTTTAAATGGAGGCAGAGAGGACCTCAGAAGACAAATTTGGCAACCTGACGTCCATCCATTGCAAGGCTTCCTTCCTTCCTGAAGTGCACTGAGGCCCTGGAACATTCTCCATGCTGCTCTGGCACTCTGGGGCTGCCTGCCCATTTGGGTCACCTTTCTTGGGCCTAAAGCCAATTTCACTTACATTGTTTTATACACGAGTGAAATGAGACACTGAGCAATTCATCTTCTTCTAGAAGTCATGCCCACAATTCCCATCCAGTTACCTTTCTCACCCAGCCTTCCTGCTGCTTGCAGACAATAAAGCATTGAAGGGAGTTGTTGACATTGACCTTTTCATTAGTTTAAAGACAAAGTCTTCTAACAAACACCCTCCTAGATGGTACCTAACTGAGGCAGAAAACAAGCTTAGGTTTCATCTGGAACCTTCCTTTAAGTGCAAAATAAGGATCAAGGATCAGATGCTAAGGAAGTTATGCTAAGGGCATAGCAGAAAAGTCTGTAGCTTTCATGAAATTAGAGACTCATGGCTGGAAGGCAAACAACCAAGTATCAGCACATCTGACTTTTTCACCCAAACTGGTACAATGGAGGACGTCTGTCCTCAGGGTACACCTTGCTGGAGGTTTTGCCATTGTCCTTCTTAACCACACTGTCACCAGAGGGAAAGAGAAAGTTTAAGCAGCCAATGCCAGAGAAATGGCTCAAGGTGACAACAATTCGACCTCAGGGAGTGAGGTTCAGAGACTGCAGCCCTATTTTCTGTAGCTCCTCTCAACCATGGTATGCCTGGAAGGGTCTGTGGGGTCCGGAGGGCTGTCCAGTCACTCCTGTGAAGACATTAGCTCTGAATGCTTCCCTGGCTCCAGAAGGCAGCAGTCAGAGAGTGTCTGGGAAATCTGCAGTACAGGCAGAAAAGGTTCTCTGGCCCAGTCTTGCCAGCCCCACATACTAGAGAGGAGCTTGAAGGCCTGCAGGATCTGAGATGGACATGCAGCTTGGCCCATTCCTGGTGAGGCCATAAACAGACACACCCCCTTTTCTTCTTTTTCCCCCAAAAGGCAATTAGCTGCACATAACTGAATGTGTGTGACTTCTAGATAAAGTACCACGTTCATTTCCTTCTTCTGGCTTAGGTTAACAGATCTTTCCCTACCTACAGGGCTTTTGTAAGAGAATCTTCTGCAGAGAATGAACAGGTTATTCAAAAGGTATGCACAGTGAATCAATAGTACTTTTTACGTACCTTTGCCTCCTCATTCACATCCCAGGTGAAGGAAACAGCATTATATGCAATCTCTTCAATGTTTCCAATTGTATTAAAGCTCTCCTTGTAATCAGCTGTAACAAAAAGAGAAAGGGTTTGAAAGAGTGAATCCTGACATACACTGAACTGTCATTTTCCAATGGGGAAATTTCAAACTTTGTTCTTCTGGCTGTCTCTCTGGCAAGAGTTAAGGACTTGTGTTCACTGATAATTTTTTAACTAATATTTACTCTGTAAGAACATAAGCATGTTCCTCTAGTAAAAGAGTAAATCTAGATGAAGCAAGGTCCCTAATTGACTTATTAGTATCATTTTTTACTGGGTTTATAAAATTATTAAATTTTTTTTCTTCTGAATCCATCACCAACCCACTCCTTCTCCTACTCACTTTCCTGACACTTAATGTTGTGGAAGTGCCAGAATATTCCATGGGGATACTTGTAGAAAAGAATATTCTGTTTATCAGCCAAGCAGTGTCACCAGGACTTCCGTAAAGAAATCCCAGGAGAGTGCAGGAAAACTCTTTTTTTTAACTTCTTTTTGGACTTCGGTGCAGAGAGTTGAGCTAATCTATATACACAGCACGCTATCACTACCACCTGTCCAAGGCCCTCTCATTGATTACTTCTTTATTTAGGTAACACTTATTTATTCCTTTTTATCCCCATTCTCCTCCCCAACAAATGCCACAGTTATCAATGTGTTTACTATGTATTCTTATGAAATAATTTGAGTTGATTTGCCTGTGTACAGAACTTTCATTTTTACAACTTGTGTTGTACTATGGCTAGAGTTGACAGATTTAGCAAATATTGGGGACATACTTATCCTAAAAAAATATTCATTGTTTATCAAATTCAAATTTAATCGTGCATCCTCTATTTTATATGGCAACCCAAGATATGGACTTTTTCAGATCTAACCACATTGCTGACTGCACACTTACATCTAAAAGCAGCTGCATAAACTTCTGTGGAACCTAAAACTTACTTATCCCCTCCTCAGAGTTGGACCCTTCAGTGATCTCCAGTTCTCTGGCACCAGCGACAATACTTTGATTAAAATCCTTATTATTCACTGTTTCCACTATCACTCACTACCTTATTATTCTTAAGGTCTGGACATGATATTCCTAGTTTTAATCCTCACTACTTCCTGGGGTTTTTACCATATGCTTACCATCTGGATTTTCTCCCTCATACCGTTGGCCTACCTTAATTCTGTCCCTTGTGTACTAAATAAACATTGTTCGTGTCCTGCTTGGCTGGCATCACAGTTATGAGGTCTGGTTCTTTGAGGTCTGGTTCATTTACAGCTTGATCACCTCATCACATATGTTCTTCCTCTCAAAGCTTCCATAATTATTTTTCTAAAACAAAACTCTGATCATGTGCCTCTTATAATGTTTTTGTAATTCTTACACTGTGACCTATCACTTCCTTCACAGTGAGGCCCAGCACGCTTGTCTGTGTGATCACACTCCAGTCCCGTGAAGGGGGTCCCAAGGAAGATTCAATTCTAATGACATTGGAGGTCTTTTGGTTTATAAATTCTTTTTAGATATTTTTCTTTTTGAGTTAGGATAGGGGAGCTAGGTACTATGAGTGGCTTCCAGGATGTATAAAGTGTTTGTTGTCTACAAAACTGGACATGTTTCTGGCCAAAGGGTCATTTCCTCTTTCTGTGTTCTCTTAAGTTGTTATCACTCCAGGGCTGGTGGTTTCTCAAGACTTCAACAAGTTCTCTATGTTAATGCTGTGAAATTTTGAAGTCTGCTTTCCTATAGTTCACATATCTGATTGTTTTTCTGTTTCCTCCTCATTTATTAGGAAATCTAAATTCATATCTTTTGTCAAGATTTTAACTATTTTCTCTTAATAAAATTCATTTTGTTTATGTGACTTAGGTTGAGAGTAGCTTTTGCTCTTTATATCCATAATATAATAAAGCAAAGTCCATAATAATCCATAATAAAACAAAGCCAGTTTGATTTTGTTTTATAAAAAAGCTCCTTATCACCAGGATTTGGATTTATGGTTCATCCCAGAAAAGCCTACTAAGTATGCTCTCTGGAATGGCCCTCCAGACTCAATCTCTAAAATGGGTTGGGCCAATCTAAACTCCTATAGGAATTCTATTGCCCCTCTTTCTCAACAAATGTCTGGGATTTTTGTTGCCAGGATGGTATGGTGGTATCCTGCATTTGCATTTCTTCTACAACTTGTGAGTTCAAGCATCTCTTCACATCCAGGATAACCAGCCAGGTGTCTCCTTATATAGATGGCCTGTCATGCCCTTTGTCCATGTTTCTATTGGTTTCCCTAGGGAGACTTTAAAGCAAAACTATCTATCTTTACATTTTAAATAAACCACAAACACTTTAATATAAAAGCATGTGTGTTCACCACAGGTAAGTCAGAGACCATGAACAAATATGAAACATACTTAAAAGCAGCCACAATCTACCTACCGACAAACAACCACTAAAAACACATCACGTATACTTCATTTTTCTGTCTTCACCTTCCTTTCTCCAAAATATGTATTTTTTACACAATATTGTAACACATTTTTAAATTTGCTTTTTATTCCTTAATACATCTTCAGCAACTTTCCATTTCAATAAACTTGTGGAAAATATTTTTAATGGCCAAGTACTATTATATTTGATTAAAATGAAGTGCCATACTATTTACAATAGCCAAGAAATGGAAGCAACCTAAGTGTCCATCATAGATGAATGGATAAAGAAGATGTGGTACATATACACAATGGAATATTATTCAGCCATAAGAAGAAAACAAATCCTACCATTTGCAACAACATGGATGGAGCTAGAGGGTATTATGCTCAGTGAAATAAGCCAAGTGGAGAAAGACACATACCAAATGATTTCACTCATCTGTGGAGTATAAGAACAAAAGAAAAACTGAAGGAACAAAACAGCAGCAGAATCACAGAACCCAAGAATGGACTAACAGTTACCAAAGGAAAAGAGACTGGGGAGAATGGGAGGGTAGGGAGGGATAAGGGCAGGGAAGAAGAAAGGGGGTATTATGATTAGCATGTATAATGTGGGGGGTGGGGGAAAGGGGAGGGCTGTGCAACACAGAGAAGACAAGTAGTGATTCTACAACATCTTACTATGCTGATGGACAGTGACTGTAATGGGGTTTGTTGGGGGGACTTGGGGTAGGGGAGAGCCTAGTGAACATAATATTCTTCATGTAATTGTAGATTAATGATAACAAAATAATAATAATAATAAAAGAGTTTGAAGAATAAAAAAAAAATGAAGTGCCATAACTTATTTAGCTCTTGCCGTCACTTAAATGATGTCCAAAAATTTGCTACCTTCAATAGCACTTCATTTAATTACCTTTATAGCTAAATATTCATACATACTTTATTATTTCACTGAGATATATTCTTAGAAGCGATATTAATAGGTCAAAGGCAAATATATTTTAAGCTGTTTAATTCATTTTGCCAAATTGCTCCTGGAAAGATTGATAACATTTATATTCACAAATAACAGGGAATGAGTTCTTGTTTCCTCAAACACCTCATAGAGAAAAATCACAGCACATCCTACAGGGCAGTCAGCTGGTAGAGACGTGCTGAGAAAAGTTCAAGGAGATAAAGATTGGACAGTTCTGTACCTTTGCAAATTCCTGGACAAAGGAGGGTGAGGTTGCCGTGCTACAGTGGAGAGGGAGCAAAGAAAACATCTCCATAGCTGCAGGCACCATGAGATTGAAAGAAAAGTTCAAAAGTTAGCCCTTCTACAGGTTGCAGCATCTTGCCACACTGATGGACAGTGACTGATGGGAGGGGTGGGGGGACTTGGTGGGCGGGGGGAGTCTAGTAGACATAATGTTCCTCATGGAGTTATGGATTAATGATACCAAAAAAAAAAAAAGTTAGCTCTTCTGAGGAAGCCAGAGGTGTGGGGGAGATGACAGACTTTGAGGGTTCCAGCGAAGGGCCGTGGCCCCGGGTGAATGCGCGCTGCTTTCATCTATGTGTTTTGGCAAGTTGCACTCTGCACAGGAATTTTGAGAAGCGTGATAGTAAATCTTCTCATTCTCTGTTTATATTGTTCACTTTTTGCATATAGTCAGTGGTTTGTTAGCAGGTTTTTAAATTCAGATTTTGTAGGTTGAGTTGTCTTCAACCTGACTGTATGTGTAAGTGTGATTCTGGAGGGCCGTCAAAGGAACTGTTCATTTCTCTGCCTTAATGAATCTTCACGTGCTCGGTAAATTATACCTACTCCTTTTAATTACTTTGTATATATTGTTGGAGATTAAAAGGAGTGGTATAATTAATATAAAAATTGCTTCTCTTCTGAAAGGTGTGGATTCTGTCTGGACCAGTGAAGTAAGCAACCTGGAATGCTGACATGGCTCAGGGCACAACTGCCATGTCAGTGTGCACATGCTGCGGCCTAAGGAGATAGTTTCCTTTTTAATAAGTGAGAACTCAGGGCAGTTTATACATTTGGGGTCAGGATCTGTAAGGAGTCCTTTTACAGGGTGGCTCCCAAAGCCCAGGAAGAAAGGACACTGGTGGTGGAAACACACAGACATGAGTATAATTTTTTCTTTATTTATTATTAAATAATTCCATTTAATTTCTGTCCCCCTCTCCCGAGCCCTGTGACCTTCAGTGAGTTATGGAACCTCTGTGAATTTGTATTTCCTCATCTACAAAAGAGAGCCAATATCTAAGACAACAGCCCTTGCTGGCCCACAGCGGGTGACAGGAACAACACCTACCCCTACTTCTCTCACCCCACTTGCCCACAGACATCAGCTCCCCTCTGTCTGCAAAGGCCAATTGGATCTGCTTGGGTTCAGGAAATGCTTGAGGGTCACTCTAGGAGCATTCACTCTGACTTGAAATAGGTAGAATAAATAAACCCTAGTCCAAAGAGGTTCTGAGATTTCTTTCTTCTGTTTCTCAAAATCAAAGCAGCAGCTTCTTAAATCCTGAATGACTCACAAGAACTCTAATGGATTATTTCCTTCATAACACTTTTCCCAAGTCAAAAGTAACCTGAGTTTCCTTA